ACAAACAGAATGAGCAATGCCTCAAAGCCCTTGCTGTGCCCTTCCCTCTTCCCCAAAGGCAATCATGTCTCTATCTTTTAACACCTTAGTTTTGTTTGCTCCTTTTAGAAAGCCATAGAAATGGAATCATATAGCGTGCATTCATTATGTCTGATGTTTCAGTACAATTTGTGTTTCTAAAACTGAATATCAGAGACTGGGTAATTTATAAAGAAAAAAGAAACTTAGTTTTACAGTTTTGGAGGCTAAGTTCAAAGTTGAGAAGCTGCATCTGGTGAAGGCCTTCTTGCTGGTGGGGACTCTCTGCGGAGTCCTGAGGGCTCAGGGCATCATGTGGTGGGAGGGTGTGAGCATACAAGACTGAATGTACTCATGCAGGCTGAGCCTTCATGACTCAATCACCTCTTGAAGGCCTTGATACTATTACACTGGGGATTAAGTTTCAATGTGACTGTGGGGTAGGGGAGGACACTTGAACCATGGCATCTGCCTTATTTTTTTCAATTTTATTTTTTATGATATTCATTCATCTTGTTGTATGCAGCTTTAAGTTCTTTATTTTCATGGCTATATAGTATTCCATTGTCTACCCAATCTACTGATAGACATTGAGTTATTTCCCTACATTTTGCCATTACAAATATTACTATTATGAATATTTAATAATGAGACATGCACTAGTTTCTGTGTATAATCATGAGTGGTATTGTTGTATTGTAGGGTGTATTCAACTTCAGTGGATAATGCCAAAGAGATTTCTAGATTAGTCCTACTAAATTGCTCTTCTGACAACAGTCTATGCTTTGGCTGCACATCCTCCCTAGTTCCTATTTTTGTTAGTCTTTTTAATTGTATCTACCAGATGGATATGTTAATGTTTCTCACAGTTTTAATTTGCATTTTCCTGATCTTTAAGAGATTAAGCCCATTCTCGTGTAGCTGTGGGCTATTTTGACATCGTATTTGTTACGTGCCTATTATGTCTTTTGTCTATTTTTTTCTGGGTTGTTTTTTCTTTTTAGCTTATCATTTATTGATTTATAGGAGTTTTATAAAATATTCCAGGTTATCAGTCTTTTTCTGGTCATACATGTTGCTGACATCTTTCCCACCCTGTCTGTGGCTTGCCTTTCCTCCCCCTGGATGGTATCTCATGAAGGACAGAAGTCTTTGAGTTTAAGGGTGCATCCTCCAGAGCTGTGCAGCGCTGGCACCCCACTGCCATCTGAGGTTGGGTGTTTATGACTAGAATTAGATGCTCCTTAGTTTTAGGAAGGACAGGAAAGTGGTCAGAGACCACTTAGTGACGGAAAAATTACTCATTTTACGACATAAACTTCCAAATGATAACTTTTCCCAATTAAAGTGTTCCCAGACTGCGTATAAAAAAAGGGTGTGCTTTAAAACTAAACTTGAATTTTAAGAATAAACAATGAGTGGCTTGTAAAAAAAAGTGCTGACAACTTAACCAATGATGAAAAGTGGCTAGCTCTCTAAATCCCAGGAGTTCTGATTCATGGGTAGCAGAATGAGGGCCTTTCAAATAAAGTGGGAAGATTGCCCAGGAGCAAGACTGATCTCTGAGGCTGTGCAGGCACACGGCTGCTTTGGCTCTGGTCCTGGTTCACGTTGGCCTCACTCTGTTCTCGGTTTGGGTCACTAGGCTAAAGTTCTGCTCTGAGGCCTACCCGAGTGAGTTGCTGCTTAGTGACATGTTGGGTATCAGAGTTTCAATTGTTTTGAAACAACTTGAGTTGAAAGGATGAGCATATAAGTGAGTGTGTGTGTGTGAAACGAGAGAGAGAGAGAGAGAGAGAGAGAGAGATAAAGTACTTCATAATAATTTTTTATATAATTCATTTTATTTTTTGGTGAAAGGTATTACTTCAAGATGTTATAGGAGAGATATGCAGAGAGAAATACGTGTGTGCATTGAGGAAATGCCATTTCCCAATCCCCATTTCCCTGTCAATACAGTCCATAGCTTTCTTGAGTCTACTGTTACTTTATCAAAAGGAGAAATAATTATAATGCCTGTGTCTTGAAAAGAACGGAATCCAAGAAATGACTCATGATAGCAATTGTGAGATTGCAAGGGCTCACTCAGTGCTGATCAGGATGAATAAAGAAAGGTGTCCCCTGTATATCTTACAGTGAAGTTTCAGAACTAAGAGGGCAGCGCCTATGGCTCAAAGGAGTAGGGTACTGGCTCCATATGCCGGAGGTGGCGGGTTCAAACCCAGCCTCGTCAAAAAAATGCAAAGAAAAAAAAAAAAAAAGAAAAATCTATGATGGATTCCAATTTTAAATAAAGGCCAGATTTGTATTTTTTTTTTTTTAAAAAAAGACGTTTCAGAACTAAAACTGAAGAAGAAATCCTGAAAGGCTCTAGAAAGACTATATCTTCCTAAAGCATGAATTTAAGTTAATTCCTCAGAGGTATTCTATAAAGGATGACTTTAAAAATTCTTCCATTAAAAGAAAAGGGTGGCATATGTAACAACCTTCCCTTCCTTCCCCAACTCCCTAAGGATTAGAAATGGGATACAAGAAAGAATGCTGTCTTTAGAGCAGGAGTTCTAAGGTGTCATTAGAAGACCAAAAACAGAGGGGATCCCAGGCCAAACACATATACAGGGCAGGAGTGGTTCCGGGCGCTTCGGGCAACACATACATGCAGCAGCCATTGCGGTGAATGGGCAAATGCCTGTGGAGCAACTTTGACCCTTCCTTTGGTTTCCTTATCCTGAATCATGGGCAGCAGCAGGCATGAGCTGGAGGTGTCCTGTGGGGGCGCAACACCTTGAAGGAACTAGAATTCAGCCCAATATGAAGTTACTGATACTCTTTCCCTGCGGCACATCCTAGCCTTCTCTGCAACCTCTGGAGGCCACTGTATTAAACAGACACATCAACTGTAAGGATGAGCGTCCAACCAAGAATCTTCAGACACTTAAAGAAGCAACAACCCCATGAAGGAGAGATTCTAGGCATACAAAAGGAGCTTCACCAAGGGGTAGTATGAATGGAGGCAGCAGGATCGGGCCTTAGCAGAAATGAAGTGGTCATTCTCAGAGGGAAAGGAGGACTTTATGTCCATACAATAAGATTAGGCTGCTGCTTCAAGATCTATACCAGTGGTTCTCAACCTTCCTAGTGGTGTGACCCTTTAATACAGTTCCTGTGGGTAGTGGCCACTGCTCTACAGAGACATTATATTGGAAATTAAATATTTGTTATTTTTTAAAAACCTTATATACAGGATGAAAAGCAGAATCCACATAGCCGAAGGATAAATGAGCAAGCTGGGAGTTTGAATTGAGAAACAATTCAGAATGTAGTACCAAAAGGTAGAGGCATAAAGAATGAATTACAGCTTAAAAGACATGGAGAAGACACCACTAATTAAAACCTCTTAGAGGAAAGAAGAGAGTGGTTAGGGGTGGGGAAGAAAGAGGGGAAGGGAGGAAAGGAAATGATCAAAGCCCAACATGAGTTATTGGGTTAAAATCTCCAGGGGTGCCCAACCTGCAATATGCAGGCTGCTTGAGAATTATGTGAGGAATTTTTTGTTTATTTGTGTGGTGTCTGATATTGCAAAAAAAAAAAAAAAATGCACAAATCTTTTTGTATTTCTCATCAGCTTTTGTTTGTGTTTGTGCATTTAATGTGTGGCCTAAGGCAACTCCTCTACCAATGTGTGGCAGAAGAAAAAGAATTTTCCTTCTGTGGACATTGATCACGATGAATAAAATGAAGATGCGCCTTAGATGTGTCAGAGCAAAACTACAGTACACTATGGGTAAAGGAAAGATCTTGAAAGGCTTCACGGAGAAAGTAGAGGAGATGCTGATTTGATTTTGAGCCATGAGGATTCTCACTTGTCTTAAGGGGTGGGGTAGGGGTACAGTCCACCTCTGGGGAGATGCTTGGGTGGAGATAGATTTAATACCGCAATATAATTTTGAAAATAAAAATGAGTTACTAATGTTTTCCACAGCAAACTCCTCTTGCTCCTTAGAATTGTATAATTATCCTTGGGAAATGATTCTGATTTTCTAAAATACATGTGTGATATTAGTTATTAGTCAAAGTGAGGTCTTTGAAATGTTCCACAATCCTGGTTTAGAAGTTATCCCTGAAAGGGCTTCACAGTCATCTATTGTAGCCTTTTTACCCTTGAAGTCAAGATCTTTTTTACCACCTGGAGGAAAGGGCTAGGACTTGTGGTTGAGATTTCCTTTAGAAACTGAGGGCTTTCTACCTTTCCTTGGAAGGGGGGACAGTTCATTTTGCACAGATGGCTCTGGTTTGAGATTTTTGAAAGGGGGCTTGGTGCCTGTAGCACAGTGGATACAGCACCAGCCACGTACACCGAGGCTGGCAGGTTTGAACTTGGCCTGGGCTAGCTAAACAACAATGACAACTGCAACAAAAACTATAGCCAGACATTGTGGCGGGCGTCTGCAGTCCCAGCTACTTAGGAGGCTAAGGCAAGAGAATTGCTTATGCCCCAAAGTTTGAGGTTGCTGTGAGCTGTGATGCCATGACATTCTATCAAGGATGACATAGTGAGACTGTCTCCAAAGAAAAGATTGTTGAGGGGGTAACAGGATTGTACATTTTTTACCCTGAGCTAGACGGCATGCCTCTTACCCTGGATAATCTTTCTAAATGAGTTGGGAAGAACAGATGCTGAGTTTTATTTCGTATTAAGACTGAATTTGCAAGGGCCTACTTATCCGTTACTTGATACCTTGATTAACCGTATGGGTCACCACAGTACTCAGATTACCTGTAGGTTTATGATGGAACAATCAGCTGGAGAACATGAGCTCAGGACTCCTCATGGTGAGAAAGAAGGCTTAGTCTTACTGATTTCTGTTTATGTAAGGATCTTTCTCTTTATTTAGTTTAGAATGTTGTCTTTTATTGACTAAAGGGACATCATGTTTCTATTATTTTCTGTTTTAACTTCAGTTTTTCTTGTGTGACTTTAGAGGCCAGAGCCCACCGGTTGCTGAATTTAACTTACTGCTGAAAGCTCACACTTTGGAAACCTATGGGGTAGATCCTCACCCATGCAAGGTAACGGTCCCTCACTGCGGGTCACTATATAATGATTGTTTTGCTTTAAAGAGAATTAATTGGTGCTCAGGCCTGGCAGAACTCTTAGAGTTTTTCCACAGCCTGACCCACGGCCTCTAATTGGGAGGGACACCGTGGGCTGGAGGCTCGCGCTGTGCCAGCTGGTTTTCCCCTCTGCAGTCTTCCGATCGCTCACTAATTGCTACATGGTGGTGACATTTTCCTCAATTAACATACATGAATTCACTCACCAAAGTGACAGGATCCTGACAGATTTACTTTCAAGGCCATTGCCGACAAGAATGCAGTCTTTAAAAATGGGGAAGTGGAAGAACAAAAGAAAGATTTAAAATTACATGTTAGCATCAGGAGTCCTTCTCCTGGGCTCATGATTTGACGGTGTTTCTCTCAAGGGTGAAGTGCAGACCACCTGTCAGAATCACCTGGGTCTCACCAGAGCCCTTGACTGGGACTGGGGCTGCAGGTGGGGAACCTGCCTTTTTGTCAGGCTCCCAGGTATGCTCACGTGCACATGCCCAGAAATGTTTAACGGAAGTGACACTCTCCTTTCCATATATTAAACTAACTAGGCATCACCCAGACATCAGCCCCCATCCTAACCTAAGCATTCTTATCAGCCGTGCTGTTAAAAATAACATTTTGAGTTTTACTGGGACATTTCTTTTCTCGGTTTGCACCAGCTAATAGTATTTGTTAAGGCACGAGTCCTGTGGCTCTCAGTACACGATGCTCATTAGAAGCACCTTGGGACCTTCATGAACACCTGTTGCCCAAAACGCACCCCACTAATTACATCAGGGTCTGTGGGGTGGAGGCCAGGCTCCCAGATGATCCCAGGGTGGGGAGCTGGTGGTGTTTGTTCCTATTAGCACTCCCGTCCTCTTGTTCTGCCTACACAATTGGTTTTAGACTATTTGCCAGCTCCCCATTCCTAGGAAAGGCTTGTTTATTCCATTTAGTGAACTAGCCCTTCCATAGAAGTTTGAACTTCTCTATTTATTTTATGTTATTACTTGGAGACTGACTTGGTCTTCTCATTGTTGTTACTCCTTTGCTTTCACTTATTTATGAGATGCGTCATGTTCCAGGTCTAGGCTAGAACCACAGTAGGCTTTTCTGGTGATATTTTTATACTGAGATTGCCAGAAATCCTGTGTGGGTTTGCATCAAGTCAGATTAGCTGCTCAGAGCGTTGGTTTCATTACATTAGAGTGCTAATGGCAACCAAGGACAGTTTGCTCACATTGCAAAGCAGATGCAGAAGCCAGGCAGCCCTGTCTACTTGGCAGCAGACAGAGTGATTTGGGCAAAGACAGAGTGATTTTTCCAGAAGGTCGCTCAAGGGGCATAAGGTCCATTCCTCAAAGGAAAAAGCTACAAAATCGTAGACCTCCCCCAAAGTTTGGAAAGCCTGCTCTTAGAAGTTCCACCTCAAAAATTTAGTTTATTGCTACAATCATTGGAATTCATATGAAACTAACCTGGTGCACAGATGAATAAGTATACCATTTATCCTTTTAACATTTTTCTTAATCACAATAGGTTTTTTTTTTTACTATTTTTTTTTTTCAGGATTCAACCGGCACAACAACATTTTTAGGATTCACTGCTGCAGGCTTTGTGGTATTTCAGGGAAATAAGAGAATCCATTTGATAAAATGGTGAGTACCTCTTTGGAAAACTGGCTTACCATTTTTCTTAATCTTGCTTCCCCTCCTCCCCTGTCTGGCTTTTTGGGGAATTGTCAGGTAGAAGGCCCAGCCTTGGAGCTTCATCAGGAAGGGATTTATCATCCGTAATTCAAAGTCAATCTATGGTGCCCTCAGTGGGGAATTGGATTTCTCAGGCTGAGGCATCAACTCACGAGGTCTGGGTTCAGGGGCTGCACCTCCAGAGAGAAGGTGCCCAGTATCACTGGTAGCCTTTACTGCTCTGGCTAGAGAGGAGTCTTGGGGTGGTTCACGGCCGGTCTGGGTGGGATACTGCTATGAAATTTCTGGAACAACTCATGCCCGCTCTCCCCTACTTAGTTCTCTCCTCTTCTGTTGAGCTCTTGATCCAAACTCACCTTTTGTTATCTAATGCATCAGTGAAGATGCTTTGTGCAAACGTAACAGGAATGTCTGCTCAGAATGGCTGGCAAATACGAAGACTGATCAGCGTACAAAGGAAGATTGGGGTCGCTCCATGTTTGTTAAATTAATTGCCCGACCACACTGTGAAGGATTTAGACCTCTGTTTTCTCCATCCCAGGGTGGTGGCTTTTGTCCCCAGGCTCCTGTTCCCCACAGCAGTATCCAGAGCCTGGAGAAGAGCAGCCCCTTTCTACATGTCTCCTTTTAAAGCAGGGGTAACTTTTTCAGAAAGTCTGTAGGAGATTTCCTATGTATCTAATTGGACAGAATTGGGTCACATGTGCATACCTGGGCAGGTGGGGAGGAGCAGACTCTGCATGAACGCGTGACCTCACCAAGGGTAATGTTTAGGTGGAGTTAGTAAGAAAGTAGGAGGCTGGAGCTTGGTAGGTGACCAGCAGTTTCTGCTGTGTCTCATTAGGGGACAAATGGCTTTGGTGAGGAGTGAGGAAGGCTGAACATAAATGCAGTGGAATATGGTAAAGGCTTTCTCTTGTTCATACCTCTAGCCTTACTCAGTTTCCTCTTTGGTGGCCGCTGACAGGCTGATCACCCTTGTGGCTTGCTGGCTTGTGGGCTCACCCTGAAGACTCCTTGGGTCTGAGGTTCTTCTGGACAGGCCAGTGGGTGTCTTTGGTGCTGGGTGGGATATGCCCCCTTGCCCTTACCTGAACCTCAGTGTCATGGTTCTGGTAGATTCGAGCTTTCTCCCAGCACCTCCTTGTCAAATCCCTCCCCTTCCTTAACACCCACCTTCCTGCCTAACCTTCTCTACTAGGTTAGGAATAGTCCCCTAATGTACGCTCCACTCCCTACATCTCCTGCTCTTTTGTAGGATCAGCACTCCCTCCTAAGATCCCAATTCTTCTAAATTGCTTTCTTTCCCTTCTATCATTGCCTTTCACTCAATTCATACTTCCTTTTGGGGGAGGCAGGGTCTCAACTCTGCAACCCGGGCTGGAGTGCAGTGACATCCCTGCAGCTCACTGCACCCTCGGACTCCTAGGCTCAAGGGATCCTCCTGCCTCACCAATCTGAGTAGCTGGGCCTACAGGTGTGTATCATAACACCTGGAGAATGTTATTTTTTTGTAGACATGGGTTTCATTCATGCTCAGGATGGTCTTGAACTTTTGGCCTCAAGTAATCCTCCCATCTCAGCCTGTCAGAGTGCTGGGATTACAGGCTTGAGCCATTGCATCCAGCCAAAATTAACTCATACCTTCAACTCCCTGTGTGCCCATTTGTTCTCTTCTTCCACGATTAGCATTCTCAACACTCTTATTTACCTTTAATACACCACTTCACTTCTCTGAGTCTCCGTGTAGAGATGCATAAAATGAGGATCGGTGTATTTGGGGGCCTGGAGGGTGGGGGAAGGGGCAGGGAGGAAACAAATAAAATAGTGCGTGTGAGAATGCTTTTTATCTTTAAATCTGGTGTGCTGTGTGAACCAGACAGTGTAATTTACATGTAGCATGCTGGTGTTATCCAGTGTTCTTTTCTATATTTTCAGTACCCTGCAAAGAAGTACCAATGTCAGTCACCTTCAGTCCATTCCAGAAGTTTCCCTAAGGGATTCTTACTGATTTGGGAGGCTTGTGTAATTTGGGAGCTTCCCTATCTTGCACTAGGACTGCAAAATGTTAGATGTTAGATCCTCAGGTCTCTGAATTGACTGAACCCAGGAATAGCTGGGTTAGAACCTGATGTGGGTCAGGGCAGGTTAATTGTGGGTGTCTCTCCCCAGTGTCTCTCCTTTTTTCCTGGGTACACTGAGGTGTGGAGGTGGCTAATCTCCGGACCATGTGTCTCTGGCATCTTCCTCTTGTCTATGTCTTGGTGGTGTTTCTGTGCAGCTGACGCAGACTCCACCCTCCTCGGCTTCTGGTCAGGCTCATGTGTTTGTAACAGCCATGTGTGTGTTACTAAAACAAATTTTATCCTAGCTTTGTTTTTTTAACCCAGAGAACTTTGTCACTCTCCCAAATTACCTACCAAGGTTAAAAGAGATTAATGTGGCTTAGGGTCATGTATCACTATGCTAAGAGTTAGATCAAAGGAATAAAAATAGAATTTTCTCCTCTCTTTCCACGTATCTTCTCATCACAAAAGTGACCTGTGTCTGCCTTGCAGGCTGATTTTCATCAGGCAGGTCCTTAAGATGAAATCTAAAGTCACTATTTTGACCTCAATTTGTCATTCTTCAAGCTCTCATAATTTTGAACATCTCAGTATATAAACACAAATCTGTTAACACGGAGAACAGGAAGGAAAAATTTTCAAGGTGGCGGATACACTTTTTGAGATGAATGTGGAAGGATGAGAAAGTCAGTCACTGTGAATCCATGTCATTTCATTCACAGAATCTGAAATAAGCACGTCCTTCTACTTTGCTAAGGGGGCTAGCAGTTCCTGTCCTGGTCATTAATATTCACAAACATGTTAGAGCTGTTTGGAAGAAAAATGCAAAACAAAAAAAAAAAAACAATGGCATAAATAATTCTGAATTGTCTATGGATCCTCTCTTGGGAAGAAAATTGCTGTATAATTCACTTGGGGCTTTCTGCTGTTCATTAGACCTGCAGAGATGGTACGATAATCTTGTTTCCTTGCAGTCTGCTTGGCATTTTGTGAGCTGGTGGATTCCTATGGGAAATCCGGGTACCTTGGTTAGCTGCCTTTTTTTTTTTCTTCTCACCCAGAGATTTTCTTTTCTTAGGCCGGATGTCTGCAAATTGAAGTTTGAAGGGAAGACGTTTTATGTGATTGGCACCCAAAAGGAGGTCAGATCCTGCTTTCCTAACTACCTGTTGTTGTGTGTGCATGAGAGAGATTCACGATGAGACGTGCCTTTAGTGAGATAGCCCCCAAACACTGTGACTTGGAAGTGTGCGATGGTAGTGGAAGCTATATGCTGAAAACATTTTAGAGGTAGGCAAACACTGGTTTTGTACATTTAAGAATAAAGCCAGGGAGCAATGCTGACTGTGTGAAAATAGACTGGGATAGACTTGAGAAATAAAAAATGAAACCTCTGCCTACCTTTTTTCTTTCTTGCCCAAATTCATGAAACGAATGAAGAATACTTGCAAAGCTAAATATCAACCAGTGCTGGCTGGAGTGTTTATAAACAGTCTAGAAGTCCTGACAGTCTTAAAGTAAAGGCACTACCAGATAAAGGTCGTGGGTTCACCAGGGAACCTTTGGGAGGAGGCCATCACCGAAGGCTAAGCCTCAGAGCTAGCTCTGCAAGTCTGCATGTTTTCTTAATCCTGGTTTCAGCTCAAGCACTAGTTAGTTATTCGAGGATGGCAAATAAGTTTTTTAAGTTAATTCAAGTCTGACAGAGAGGTGGTAGCTGATGCCTGGAGTGTTGAGAGGGATTGTGAGGCTGCTTTTCTTTGTATCAGAAACAGGGCCTAGATAGATTAGTGATGTCTGCAGAGGCTGAGAGAAGGGGGAATACCATTTCACTATTACTTTAAGGAACATAATAAAGGGTTAAGTTCCTTCAAATCGTCATCAACTGTATTTAACCTGCCTTTGTTGGTCTTGTTATTTTTTTATTAGAAGAAAGCTATGTTGGCATTCCATACTTCAACACCAGCTGCTTGCAAACACCTCTGGAAATGTGGGGTGGAGAACCAGGCCTTTTATAAGTAAGTACCTTTTCTTCAGTTTGTCACAGGCTTCAGAAGCACCCATGCAAGTCCTTATGTATTACAATGGCTGCATATTCATTTCTTGTAATATCCCTTTTTATTATATTTAAGTGAATTATAAAGGTACTGACTCTCAGCCTGACCAAGTCCTGAGTGAGCTTTATTTGGGGTGTTTCCCAGAGAATTGCTATGGATGAATGTGTGTGAAATTGCTGTTTCTATGAAATATGTCACAAAATCAATTTTTGGTTAGGTTAGGTAGGCCCCAGAAGCAGACCTTGAGATAGAGTTGAGTGCAAGTAGTTTATTTGAGATGTGGTCAATGGATATAGAAGAGGATGAGTCAGAGAGGTGGGAAGCCCCCAGTGGAGGGTGCATTACTAAGCAGCTCATTTCTGTGGGCAGCTGAGCTCAGCTCTGCTTGGGAGCTCTGAGAGACTGTATTGTGCCTTAGAGTTCTCCTGCTGATGGGCAAAATAGGGACGCTGGTTACCTACCAATTCTCTGTTCATTTTGGTTGAGGGCTGCTTTGAAAGGCAGAGTTAATACTCTCTAGTACTGCTGGTTTGCTCTGAGAGTAGGTCCAATGTGCTCCCAAAAAAGAGACCTTTGGCAGAGGCTCTCATGTGCTCCTAGAAGGAAGGCCTCAGTGCAGAGAAGGGAGAGCCAGGGTTTATGGGTGGAGGCTGTCAGAGTCTAGGATCATACACAGGGAGTTAGGAGGGGGATCCTTCCGGGGATGGAAGGACATCCTAGCCTGAGCAAGGGACCAAGGGACCAAAGGGGAGGGCACAGCTCGGGGAGCATGAGGGTAGATGAGGCAAAAAAAGAGGTGAGGAGGGCAAGGAGGTCTTGGGGCCAAATGCTGAGGCTCAACCAGCATGAAAAGGCAGCAAGGATGCTGATGGGGATTGCTCTGAAGGCCCACAGGCAGCCTGCAGAGGGAGCAGTGAAGAGAACTCCACACACAGGCCTCCCCGGAGCTGTCTCCGTGAGTCCTATTTGGAAGGATTTTGGCTCAGCCTTGAACATCCTGTAGTGAAATCACAGGGTCCCTATCGAGGAATAGCTTAGAGACATTAATTCGTTATCTTTCACACTTGCTGTTTCGTCACATGCTAGGCGATCAGTTGGTAGATGGCGTCAAATAAAATCAAAAACAGAATTGTAAAGGGAGGGAGAGGGAGAGAAAGAAATCACAGTCTGGAAAATCTGTTTTGCACCTTTTGGGGTAAAGCAGATTAGCTGGAAGCTAGCAAGGAGGGCAGTCTGATAACTCTGTCATTGCCTAGGTCACCTAAGCATGCCAGAGAAGTCCCATCAGGCATTTGTGGATGCATCAGAAGACCCGGGGGAGGGTTGAGCTCTGAGCACAGACTGCATGCAGTTGACTGAGCCCTTGTAAGAGCACTCCTACTGTAGTCAGGCCAGCCACCCTGCCTCTCTCACTGGGACTTCTAACCTCTAGTATTTGTGCTGAGCTGAGACTTGCTGGAATTTTTGCTTCTCCTTTATCCTATAACCATCCTGTTCCTTAGGAAAAAGGGGAGATGCCACTTGTTCTGACCCAGCTGTGTGACTATAGACAAGTCCCTGGAGCACTGTCTGGCCTCATTCTTCTCACCTGTAGAATGGAGGGGACTGGAGCTGGCCTGGGCACTGGCTCACATCCCTGTGGCATAGCGTGATGAGTGTGGGCTTGGATATAAAGGGCGCAGGTTGGGAGTCAACTCTGTCGCTTACTAGCAGTGTGGCCTTGAACAAAGCTCTTAAACTGTTTGAAAGTCATCTTTATTTTTCATCCATAAAATGCAATTGGTAATACCTGCCTTGCAGTATTCAGTTTTGTCAGGCACATTAACCCATCTCTAAGTGGCAGCCACTGCTGTGACTTCAATTACTGACCCCTCTTGGTAATGGTGAGAGTTTTTTGAGTGCTAGTGGGACGCAGGCCCAGTCCCTTTGATTTTTGAAGTCTCTGATGCTGATAACCTCAGGGGTGGGGACACCTGCTTCCTCCGTGGCTCCTCCCCTTTCCCAGGCAGGGGTCCTGGCCCTGCCTTTCACTCTGGCCCACTGGCTCTGTGCTTCAGTGGTTACAGCTGGAAGAGTGAGGCTCTGATCTTTCTTCTTGGGTTGGGCAGGGTGCTTTGTTTCTTCCATTTTTACTTCACCTGCGTGGAGCAGGAAGGCCCTGTGGCTGTTGCCTATGAATTCCCCAGTGAGCTTTTAAGGCAAGAATGTGCTGCTGGTTGTCACCTGGCCCGGGGCCACCAATCTGTTTTGAAAGCCCTGGCTCTGACATCTGCTGCCTGGGAACTGAGCCCAGAAGCAGAAACTCTGATTTTCCTGCCTACTCTGGACCTCAGGGGATCCCCACACAGACTTAGTCACCATTTAAGAGCTTCCTCATACCACGAGTTGTCTGTCAAGGTGCTGCCAACCCCACAGCCCTGGAGCTCACTGCTTCCAGGCGCTGGTTCCCTGAAGGCACACTGGGTGCATTGAAGGGTTCAGTGGATCACTGATGTTCTCATTCTCTGAATCTTTATTTCATACCTGCTTTATGCTGGGCATTGTGCTAGGCACTGGGGACATGGTAGAGCCTCAAGTGACACATGCTGTCTCCAATTTGGTTGGAATTGTGTGTAGAGGATACAGGTAAATCAATTCCTCATTCAGAATTTGGTGTGCAAGAGGAACAATAATATTATTAAAAAGAACACAAACTAGCTCCCTAAACCAGTGCCTCTCACCCTTTAATGAGCACATGAATTACCTGAGTTCTGAGTCAGAAGGTCTGGGGTGGGCACGAGTTTCCACATGTCTAATAACCTTCCAGGCCGTGCTGTGCTGGAGGGCCACAGACCACACTTCATTGAGTAAGGAGGTTCTAAGCCAGTGGCTTTCAGTCTGGATCACATTTGCATCACCTGGGGTAGCTTTGAGCACATACCAGAGCCATGATCCTTGCATGCTGCCCAGACCCAATTCAATCATAATCTGGGATTTCACTAAAACTTGTGCACAAGTGTTCATGGTAGCATTATTCATAACAGCCAAAAAGTAGAAACAACCCAAGGGTCCATCAGCTGATGCATGGATGCATGCACTGTGGTAGATAGTGAAATATAACTCAGCCATGAGAAGGACTGAAGTACTGGTACCTACTGCGACATGGATGGACCTTGGAAGCAGTACACTAAGGGAAAGACACCATTTACAAAACACCACGTGTTGTAAGATCCTATTGATATGAAATGTCCCAAATAGGGAACTGTTGCTTAGAGCTGTGGGTGAGGTGAGGAGGGGACGTGTGGAGTGATTGCCAGTGGATATAGGTTTTTTTTTTTTTTAAGGAGAGAATGAAATGTTTTAATATTAGATGGGATGATTAGCTTTTTTGATCAATTTTTTTAAGCTTTGTACATTTTGGTGGGTTTTTGTTTAATTTACAATCTAAAAGGGTAAACTTTATGGCATGTGAATTATATCTCAGTAAACCTGTTATTTTAAGAAATCTGGTTCTAAGGAGCAATGCATTCAGTTTTATTCCATTTAGAATGATATTGGCTGTGGGTTTGTTGAAGATGGCTTCTATCAGTTTAAGAAAAGTCCCATCTGGCTCAGCACCTATAGCTCAGGCAGCTAGGGTGGCAGCCACATACACTGGAGCTGGCAGGTTCGAATCCAGCCCAGGCCAAAAAAAAAGCCAGGCATTGTGGTGGGTGCCTGTAGTCCCAGCTACTTTGGAGGTGGAGGCAAGAGAATTGTTTGGGTCCAGGAGTTTGAGGTTGCTGTGAGCTGTGATGCCATGGCACTCTACCTAGGGCAACAGCTTGGAACTCTGTCTCAAAGAAAAAAAAATAAAGAAATGTCCCATCTATTCCTATTTTCTTAAGTGTTCTTGTCAGAAAAGGATGCTGAATTTTGTCAAATACTTTTTCTGCATCTATTAGGAGGATCATATGGTCTCTGTTTTTGCTTCTATTTATGTGGCAAATTGCATTTATGAGTTTATGTTGGACCAACCTTGCATCCCGGGGATAAAGCCCACCTGATCATGATGTATAATTTTTTTTGATATGTAGCTGCATTCAGTTTGTTACAATTTTATCAAATATTTTTGAGTCAATATCCATTAATGATATTGGTATGTAGTTTTCTTTTCTTGGTGGGTCCTCTCCTGGTTTTGGTATCAGTGTGACAGGGATTTCCATGATTGCCACTGCTTTTCAGCATAGTGCTGGAAGCTCTAGCTAATGTAATTGGGCAAGAGAAGGGTATTCAAGTGGGGACAGAGGAGGTCAAACTCTCTCTCTCTGCAGATGATATGATCGTCTACTTAGAAAACCCCAGGGACTTAACCACAAGGTTCCTGGAAGTAATCAAGTAATACAGTAACATCTCAGCATACAAATTGTCTACAAATCAGTAGCCTTCATGGATTCCATAACAATCAAGCTGAAAATCAAATCAAAGGTACAATACCCTTCATGGTAGCTTCAAAGAAAATGAAACACCTGAGGATATACTTAACAAAATATGTGAAGAATCTTTAAAGAGAGAATTATGAAAAAAAAATCAACATTGTTAAAATGTTCATACCACCCCAAACTATCTGAAGATTTAATGCAATCCTCATCAAAGTATCAATGTCATGCTTTGAAGAACTTGAAAAAAATTTTCATGTGGAACCAGAAAAAACCCAGAATAGCTAACGTAATTCTGAGAAATAAAAACAAATCTGGAGGCATCATGTTACCAGAATTCAGGTTATGTTACAAGTTTACAGTGATCAAAACAACATGGTAAACTTGTAACACAAGATAGAGATGTAGATCTATGGAATAGAACAGAGAACCTACAGATGAACTCAGCCACATATCACCAGCTGATTGCTGATAAACCAAATAAAATCATACATTGTAGAAGAGAATCACTACTTAATAAATGATGTGGGGAGAACTGGTTAGCTATTTGTAGAAGACTGAAAC